AGTTCGACTCAAGTTCGACTCAAGTTCGACTCAGGTTCGACTCAGGTTCGACTCAGGTTCGACTCAGGGTCGACCCAAATCGACTGACGTTCGAAGCAGCTTCGACGCACGAGTGGAGCGAGTGGCTCCAGGAAGGTCCCCAGAACGAGCATCCAAGGGGGGGGGGGGGGGGGCAAGGGGGGCAAGAGTGCCCTCGAGAGCTAGGCTTAAGTCGGGCCTGTCCCCCTACAGGGGGATTATCGACGACAAATACCCTGAGAATAGTCAAAGCATAGTCCAAAAATAGTCTGGGGACTGTTTTGTTGAGCATTTTTTGTTTTTGTTGGTGTTTTTTTGGGGTATGTTTTATTTCTCGTCGAAAACCCCCCTGTAGGGGGACAGGCCCGACTTTCAGCTGGGCCTCGAGTAGGGGGAATCGGCTACAGAAGTGGCTGATGTCCCAGAATCGATTTTTGTTCGTCGGGTCTTCGAACAACTACGCCGAGTGCTCGTAGATCTACAGACATTCGACGTGCTGGTTGCAGAGCCGACGCAAGTTTCGGCCTTGGGGCAAGTCAACTCTGCAGCCAGTCCCCTGGTCGAAGGAGAGCTGGCACCAGTCGAAGATCGGGCACGCCAACTGCGTGGCGGGGGGGGGGGTGAAGAGCACCCGCGAGGGCGCGAAGCGGGGGGTGGGGGGCAGGGGTGCCCTCGAGGGCGCGAGGCTGTTCGCGCTTAGAGGTCCAGCTCCGACCCAGGAGAGCCAGGCCTCCCAGGTGGGGCCGGAGCAGATGGGGTCGAAGGATCGCGCCGCATCGCCGATGCATCGGCGATGCGGCTCGGAGTGGGGCCCGTGCTCTTTCTCCACGTCGACGGCGCCGATGCCTCGCCGACGTCGCCGACGCATCGCCGAGGCATCGCCGATACATCGGCGACGCATTGACGATGCGGCGCGATCCTTCGACCCCATCTGCTCGGACTCCATCGGGGAGGCCTCTAGGAGAGCTGGCACCTGTCGAACATTGGGCACACCAACTACGTGGCGGGATGGGGGGGGGCAAGGGTGCCCTCGGGGGCGCAAAGTTGTTCGCGCTTCGCGCTTCGCGGTTCGGCTCCGATTCCTCTTCATCCTCCTCTGCTCCCCTGGGGGGCGGCGCGAGAGCGCGAAGTTATTCGCGCTTCTCGCAGCGCGAAGCGCGAAGTTGGGCGCCCTTGGGGAAGAGAGGCGGTGGTGGAGGGAGGGGCGAGGCGGGACTCCAGGCCCCCCAGCCGAGGAACGTGAGCGTCTTGCCACATGGCTCCCTGGCCGGAGGCACGCGGGCAGCATGAAATATGCCAGCGGCATGTACCTCAGGCTTGATGTCGCCAAGAGCGCGAAGGACCCTGGCCTCCGAGGCGTTTCCACCCTTTGGTGAGGACGACGCTCACGTGTGGGACGGGGCAGGGTCCGTCAGAAGAAGGGTGGACTTGGTAAGGACAGAGTGCGTGGCCGCAAGGGCGCCACTCACAAGGTGAGAAGGCTCGCTTGCTCATCCTGGAGCACCACAGGGTTGGCCCTCAGAACTGCTGCTGAGAGGGCTCGCAGAGTCCACTCGCGCCCACCCCACGGCCCTAGCTGCATGGAGCCCAGACGGAAGCTCTGCGTCGACAGTGGGTAGGGGGCACGGTCAGACCATGCTGCAGGCGCGAAGCCTCTTGGGGCCTTTTCGGGGGTGACTGGGGAGCTCCTGGGGCCATGCGCAGCGCCAGCAGCATCTGCAGCGCTTGCAGCACGCGTGCCCCGCTGGCGCCGCGGCGGCGCCCCCCGCGCGGGTGCGGAGGCGGAGGATCGTCGAGCGGGCGCGGGCACGGCGGGAGTGGCGGCCGCGGCGCGCGGGCCCCCCCGGCGGGGCTCAGGAGCAGTTCTCCGCGGCGGTGCACGTGAACGGCGGAGAGGACGGGGAAGACGTGGGCATCCAGGACGCCGCCCCTGGGAGCGGACGTGCGGGGAGGAGGAGGAGGAGGAGGAGGAGGAGGAGGAGGAGGAGGAGGAGGAGGAGGAGGAGGCAGGGACGGCCGGAGAGGCGTGGCGTGGTGAGCCAGGAGGGGAAACAGGCACGCAGCCACAATTCATCGCCGATTCCCCAGAACATGTGGGAAAATATGGGAAGTGGGGGGGAGGAGAAAAACCCAGAAGCTATGGGAAAATATGGGGAGTTCTGTTATTTGTGTCTATTTATTTGCGTGTCCCAGGGCCCCTTCAGTGAGGGAGAGGCAGTGCCGAGGAGCGGCGCGCGCGGCCGGAGAGGTGGAGAAGCGGTGAGCGGCGGAGAGGTGCCCCACGACGGGCGAAGCCCTTCGCCTCCTCCTCCTCCTCCTCCTCCTCCTCCTCCTCCTCCTCCCCTCCTCCTCCTCCTCCTCCCTTCTCCTCCTCCTCCTCCTCTCCTCCTCCTCCCCCTCCTCCTCCTCCTCCTCCTCCTCCTCCTCCTCCTCCTCCTCCTCCTCCCCCTCCTCCTCCCCCTCCACCGCCCCTCTTCCTCGACCCAGCCTGAACGCGAACGAGTTCGTCCGCGCCACATGCCACTTACGCCACCGCATGGCCATAGCCAGAGGCGGGTGGCGCCTCCCGAAACAGTGCAACCCATCAGGTGGGTTGCACCACCCCAGCCCTGATGACCGAAGCGGTGCGCAAAGGTTCAACTAAATACCGCCAGACTCGGTTGACTTGAAACCTGGCAGGCGAGCGGGTGAGGCCAGCAAGCACACGGGCACCCCAGGTGCCAGGTGCAGGAGGTCCTCGGCAGCCGAGAGATAGGTTCGCAGAGATCTTGACCCCTCCCAGGCCACACACCACACACACAGTACACCACAGCCTCCGCCCCCCGTCCCCAACAACGGCGAAGGGATGTATCACGTGCGCTCTGTCGTCGGCGAGCTGCACGCGCACAGAGGCCAAATCGGCTCGTGAGAGACTGCGCGGTGCAACGGGCAACGGTGGCAATTAAGTCAGGCACGGGGCGATTCGCACACCCTTGGCCTCGAGCAGCACGCTGCTTCTTTGAGACATGCTCACAGTCGAGGTCACACATACGCGGGCCTATGCGGGCAACCCAGCGAGCCCACCTAGCAAGCACCAGGGCCTTGGCCTTGTGGGTCTCGCGGAGCTCAGAGGGAACACGGGCCGTCGAGGCAACCCACCGGGCCCAGTCGTCCACATGAGCATTGCCCCCTTTTTCCCGAAGCGCGAGGACAGGCCAATGCGAGCTTCTGTGCAATGTCCTTTTCATGTTGCGGAGCACGCTGTTATCAGCCCCTCCCCAGTTCGAGATGCGCTGCCAGACCTGGCCCCGCAGCTCTGACCAGGCGGCACGCGAAGAGCCACATAATGCCCGACCACGCAGGTGGACTCCGTCGTGCACAAACGCCGAGTCCGTGTAAAAAGTGCTGTGGTTTCTCCCTCGTCTTCTCTGCCTAAGTCAAGCTTCGCGCGGCCCGCTTAGCTTCGACCGGAAGAGGTGCGCTCTCGAATCGCGGATCAAAAACATGTAGATAGTGTTGCCTGGCATGTTGTGCTGCAGAGCACGATAGAAGGCAAACAGTTCGGCATAGCCAATATCCTGACAGACGTGCGAAGCCGTACCGCACAACACAAAGTTGACACGATGTGGTAGTGGGGTTGCACACTGCCAATGGCCCATCCGAGTGCTTGCTCGTGGGACGGTCGGCGCTGGTCCATCCAGCTGCCGTCTAGAAAAACGTGTCCTGACATCTCGGTGGGGCTTCCACCAAACCACCTGTCGGGTAGGGAGGTGGCAGGAGGGAAGGGGGCATCAAGGACGAGGAGCCTTTCGGCGAACAGGAGAGGGAGGGGGTCAACACTCGCTCTGACCACGGAATCTAGAAACTCGGGCGCGGCTTCACCAGCAGCGATGTCGTGGTGCCCCCCGCAGCTTGCATGCCTGTGAAGCAGCGTGCCAGGAGCCTCGCAACACAACTGACAGTGAGGCTCGGCCGTAGATTGTGCCATCCACTGTCTGTGTTGAGGCCGCTGCCCTCCACGCACAACACTCCTGAGATAAGCCTTCTCGTCGGCTCGCAGGGCTTTTGAGGCAACCAGGTTGTGTAAAGGCTGAAGATTGCACCCGAGAGAGAGCTCAGGGATACCCTCTCTGGAGGCAACTTTTTCCCATAACCGCTGTCGCACTACACCACTGAACCACTTGCTCACAGTGCGTGGGCCGCGCAGCTGCACAGAGATCTCCCCGCAGTGGAGTGTCGCCAAACAAAATCCTGCATGCCAATGCCGAGGCGCAGCGCCGTGGCCGCGCAGGCAGAGAAGGGGCCTCGGATACTCGCCCAAGGGTTGCCATTACCACGAAGCCTGTCAAACGCATCGCGCAACCCTTGTGTGACATCGCATGCGGCTGCCATCGCTCCCAAACTGCGGTGGCTAGCTGAAGCAAAGGCGCGCGCTGCAACTCGACAGCAGGATCGATACCACGGCGTTCGCTGAGCATAACAGTCAGAGTGACCGGCTTACCATCTAACTTATGTGCGTGCACACGCGCTTGCTGCATACGCGCCTGTCTAAGATCAGTGCCTGTAGTACCAGAAAGTCTTTGCACCCATATGCAAACGAAGAAAGGGAAGCACTGCGAATCATGTTGCGCAGCTGGCGTTTGCGCACGAAGCTGGACAAAGTGAGTAGCTTGCGCGCTCGAGCGCACGCAGGCTGCTTGCGGTTCACGCGCGCATACTGCTTGTGCACTTTTCCGGCGGCAAAGTCGATCCCAATATTCCTCTCAGTGCGAGCGCCCGTGAGTCTGACTGAACGGAGCTTGTCCTCGAGGCTCTCACGGAGGCTGGATAAGGAGGCCACAGCGCGACTTTTTTTAAAGGCGACAGGCAGACTGACTTTGTTACGTTGCACGTGCAGCCTGCGCGTGGCTCCAGCCAGCTCGAGCACGACATCTTTTTCGTGCCCAAGCTTCTGGCAGCCCAAAGTCATCGACCACGTTGCCAAGATGCGCGCGGGGAAAAAGAAGCCTGCAGTGCATCCAAGGGTGCTAGAAGCACCAGCTGTAGCATCAAGGTTGCAATATGGCAGCCTGGAAGATCGGCTTGCAGGTTGCGCGCAGCAGGAGTAGACGCGGCATCGCCAACGGCGAGCACTCGAGGGCAACGATAAAGCTCGACCAATAGCCTGACCTGCCGCACAGGAAACCCTGTGCGCAGCGCCGCCTGCAATAGAACATCATACCTTTATCTGTTCGAATGCCTTGGCCAGGTCGAGGGGGATGAGAGCGCTCGACAAACCCCGCGCGCGACCCCACTCAGCGCTGCTAGCTTGGATCCAGACGGACTTGTCCGACGACCGTCCAGCCGTGGACCACTGACAACTGCGATCATGCTGCTGCTGCTGCCACTCCGCTACCAGTGGCATCTTCCGCCGTCCTTGAACGCGCGCTGAGATGTGGATGAGTGCGATAGGGCGAATGCCACCATCGCGCTTTGAAAGAAAAACTATCTTGGCCCAGATGGCTGGCCAGGTGCAGGACAATTCTACCGCGACGAGGCCGCCGAGGAAGGCTTCGAGTGCCTCATCAGATAACGCAAGCAGCTGCCGAGGGCGCAGCTGGTCAAACCCGCAGCCTGAGCGGCGAGGAAGCGAACGCCCGCAGGCCCTGAGCTCTTCTTGCGCGGGCCTCGCAAAGAGTGGGCCTAGATGAAGCGTGCAGGGCTTGCCAGCTGCAATGGAGCTGGCGCGCCAGGTAACAGCAGGTTTGGGAGAAGGCGTGCCGTGCAGCAGCGCCGTCGATGGAATGCCGCTGCGCCCGATCTCCCCAGCCTGCTTGCCTGCCGCGCTCGGCTTCGTTGAAAACAGCAACCGCCCGGGCGCCAGTGACTTCCGCCGCGGCAGATGCCGACGCATGCGGCAGCGAGAAGGCCAGCTGAAGCAGCAGCATCCATGGCTCAGCTTCTTCCGACGACGCACCACTAGACCTGAGCTTCGCCTGGGCGCTGCGTCCTAGCCGCACGGTGCCTGCCCTTAAATTGGGAGGCTGCCACCGAGCTAGGCCTTGGAAACAGCGAGCGACCAGGCGCCACCAGAGGGCGGCAGGACTGAGAACAGGGGAAATAGCGATTGTGGAACCAGCGGCCTGCGTTGCGCGAGCTGCAACGGTTGCGCTCTGCCAAAATATTCGGGGTTCGCTGCAGGAGTGAGGCCGCGCATGTCGGCCGAATCAAACTCAGCGTGGGTGGCCCGCAGCTGCCACTTCTCATTCAAAGAGGTGCCCTTCATCTGCTGAGTGCAGTGCGTCCAGCGCGGGGTGGGGTCCTCCCTCCTGCGCCCGATGGGGGCATCTGAGGGAAAACGACGAGGTACCTGCACGGTGCGATACTCACAGGAAAGTGAGGCGCCGTGCCAGCATCCGAAACGACCTCTCGGGTGGCATTGTGCGCGAGTGATTGCGAGACAACGAAATAATCATTAGTGCGCCCATCAGAGGCAGAGGCAGTAGTGCAGGTGGCAGCAGACGGGAAGAGGCAAACCCTGTCAATCGCTTCGACCCACAGACTGCCCTGAGCTCCTCAGGTGGTATCTGAAAATCGCCACAGATCACAGAAGGTAAACCGACAGACTGGACGACTCGTCCAACATCGGTGAGGATATTCAAGTTTTTCTTGGAATGCCCTTCAGAATTGCGCAACTGCGCGCCCCTCCCCTGCGCGCAGGCCCAGATCTCTGGCAGCCGGTTCCTGCTCGAATCGGTGGCCCATGGGCGACGCCTTCCCATAGAGCCGGCTCTGAAACCTGACGCCTTGGCGGCGGCGGTCCCGAGGCCCGAAACGGCCTTCTGGGGGCCTTCTGAAGACCTCGAACAGCTTTACACAGCCATGGCGGGGGGCCACGACAGGGCGCCACGGTGGGGGGGGGCAACGACGGGGGGCCACCATGGGCCACCGATTTCGGGCCACAAGAACCCCAAAGGCGTGAGCCCATGATTATGCAGGAGTCTCACTCTGCCATCACGCAACGAACTGTCAACGCACTTCACCTCGGCCAGCCCTGATGCGGCTGGGACACACTGGAGCAGTCCGCCTGTGGTGCCGCCGCTCGCGGTCGCAGCGGCGGCAGTGAAGGCGGCTTTCCAACTTGACGCGGAGCTTGTGCTCTCAAATGTCACGCTGAGCGCGCAACATGCGATGCTCCTGCACGGCGACGGCGCGCGCCACGAATGCGATCATGCATGAGTGCAGCCCCCAAGCCGCTGCGCCCTGAGACGTTGACAGCGACAAGACTCAGGCTGAATATACGCTTCAGCCATCCCGCGCACACGAGCCTGCAGCCTCCACGAGCTGGTCGAAGATGCTCTTGACCAACTCATGCTTGACTCCCTGCTGCTCAGCTGCGTCGTGAGCTTCTTGCCCCTCGCGCTGCTGCTCGATCCAGCGCAGGAGCTCGGCGTGCGACTGCTGGGCTCTTGCTCGCGCCGCGGCGGCGTCCGCGGCGGCGGCGCCGGCGGCGCGCTGCGCCTCGGCCTCGGCCTGCGCCATGGCGCCAGCATCGCGCTCGCGGGCGATGGCGGGAGTGGCTGGAGCAACGGCGGCTGCAGGCACGGCGGCAGCAGCAGGAGACGCAGCCCCGCCTGGAGCAGCCACAGGCGGAACGCCTGCATCACCATCAGGAATGGTAACGTCGGGCTCGGGCGGCTTCGACAGCTCCAGCAATGTGGGCGCCGGCGCCTGCAACTGCTGCGCGGAGGCCGCCAGCCCGAGGTCTGCCTTGAGCCCGCCCGCCAGAGCCGAGAGCGCGAGCGCGGGGCTGGTGCTCGAAGCCATGCCTTGGTAGGCCTTGGCTGCCCGCGCTGCGGCCTCCGCGCAGCTTCTTGGCCTCGTCGAGCTCCTGCTTGGCGGCCGCTGCTGTCGCCGCCGCCTTGAGCGCTGCAGCCTGACCGCAGGCCCGCTGGGCCTTGTCGCGCTTGTCCGCCAAGACGTCCTGCTCGATCCTGGCCGCGCCTCGGCGCGCGGCCCCCCAGCCAGCAGCGCGCGGTGGGCGACCACCTTGGCGACCAGCTTGGGCGCCCACTCACTCCGCAGAGACCGCCTCGAAGTCCGCGGCCTCGAGCTTCGCGTAGATGCCGATGGCCGCGGGATCCATGTAGGAGACCTTGCCCTGCGAGGAGGCACCCTTGCCGCCACCTGCGCCGCCGCCACGCTGACCGCCGCCGCCTGCCTGGAGCGGCGCTTGCAGCCATGCGCCGAGGGTGCGCGGGCCCGCCGCCGAAGGCGCTGGGCCCGAGGGCGCGGGGCGGCCGCGCGCGCGGCAGTGCGTGCGCGAGAGAAAGTTGAAGCGGTAACCGCAGCGCTTGTGCTGACGCTGCCAGGTGTCGAAGGAGCCGCCGCCATGCCGCTGCGGGGACATTCGAGCCTTAGGGGTCGTAGATACAGAGGAAGCCAAACACCCTCGCCTGACGGAACGACCAGGCGTGACTGTGGGGGCCGTCACTCCCCCGCGCCAGTGAGGTCATGTCCTGTGCCAAACACACTACGGACTTGAGCCAAAATGGCTACGGACCCCCCCCCTCCTCCTCCCCCCCCCCATCCTCCCCCTCTCCTCCCCCCCCCCTCCTCCTCCTCCTCCACCTCCCCTCCTCCTCCTCCTCCTCCTCCTCCTCCTCCTCCTCCTCCTCCTCCTCCTCCATTCATTCCTCCTCCTCCTCCTCCTCCTCCCTCCCCCTCCTCCTCCCTCCTCCCCCTCCTCCTCCTCCTTCTCCTCCTCCTCCTCCTCCTCCTCCTCCTCCTCCTCCTCCTCCTCCTCCTCCTCCTCCTCCTCCTCCGCCCCCTCCTCCTTCCGTTTCTCCTCTGCCGCCACGCGAGGCGGATCCTGCCCAGTGCCCGCTGATCACCGCGGCGCGCTGTCGGGGCTGCAGCAGGCTGCAGATTCGGAGGCTGCCAGGGGTGGTTCTTGCCCATGCCGCCATCGTCTCGCGCCAGTTCGGAACCCCACTGGTGCCTTCGTGGCCTCGTGAGGAGTGCTGGGCGACGCAGAAAAAGGGGGTTCGACTGTGCCAGCACTCGCGCGTCAGCTGCCCGCGTAAGGTCGCGCGCAAGCGCCCTCGTTTCCAGCGTAGCGTGCCGCGCCGGCGGCCCGCGTAAGTTGTGGCGTAAGATCGGTGTGCCGTCTTACGTAACACCTCTTCCTTTTCGTCGCTCTTATGGCTTTCTCGCTCAGCATCTGGGACTAAAGAAGGCGGCTTCCTCATATCACTGGGCGCGCTCCGCTATTCAATTGTTTACTCGCACACGTCAAGAAACAATTGTCTTCCTCGGATCGTAAATCCCACGCGGCGGAGCCAGGCCATTTGCGGGTAGTTCCTCTGCGAGTCGTGGAGCGCGCTTGTCTTTCATTGCCCTGCACTGCGGCTGCCGGTTCCTCCCCTGGGCGCGGCCGCGACGCCGACCCGCGCTCGCTGCCAGGGTCTGCCCTGCAGCCTGGCCGCCCCGCGCGCTCCCCGCGGCCCAGCCTCGTGAGTGCGCCTTCTTCCTTCCTCCTGCCTCTGCGGCTGGCCCTCTTCTCTCTCTCTCTCTCTGCCCCCTCCTCCGCATGCGGGACACTTTCGCAACGCCGTGGCCCGGATTGTTCGACGCGCGAGCGGGTCACCTCCGTCGGGCGGGTGGTATTGGGGGGTGGCCTTAGTGGGAGGTGAAAAAAAGGCCTTGAAGGGGCCCTTCAGGGTCTCTTCTGGAGCCAGCAGGGGCCCAACTGGGGCCCTGAAGGCCCCGCGCCGCGACGGACCAAGTGTGCAGCATTGCCATCGCGCTCCAGGACAGGGTGCTCCACGTCGTCACGCTGCCGTGGAAGCTCATGTGCGCCTGCATCCCTCCCACGGACCCCCCTGGGGGGGACGGGCCGCTCGCCAGAACGGCCCCCGCCGGGGAGGCGGAGGAGGAGGAGGAGGAGGAGGAGGAGGAAGATGAAGATGATGAAGATGATGATGATGATGATGATGATGATGATGATGATGATGATGATGATGATGATGATGATGATGATGATGATGATGATGATGATGATGATGATGATGATGATGATGATGATGATGATGATGATGATGATGATGATGATGATGATGATGATGATGATGATGATGAATGATGATGATGACGATGCTGCTGATGATGATGATGATGATGATGATGATGATGATGATGATGATGATGATGAGGAGGAGGAGGAGGGAGGGAGGAGGAGGAGGAGGAGGAGGAGGAAGGGAGGGAGGAAGGAGAGGAGGAGAGGAAGGAGGAGGTGGAGGAGGAGGAGGAGGAGGAGGAGGAGAAGGAGGAGGAGGAGGAGGAGGAAACGGAGGAGGAGGAGGAGGAGAGAGGGCAACCAAGCGTCTGCCTCGCCTCTCGCCTTTCAGCTCTCGCCTTTCGCCTGCGGGCCTGCGGGCAGGGTGGGCAAGTCGGCTACAGTGGAAACCCATGCCAAGAAGCACCCTGCTTGCCTCCAGGGTCCCCTGGTTTTCTTGGGTTTCGATGGTTGTGCCATGGGATGCGTGGCGCCCCTACACCACAAAAAAACAATGCACGTTCTGGAGTGTTTTAGGCTTGGGTTTCTCGTGGGCGGTTTCTTGTGGTCGAGCTCCTACTGCAACTTCGGCGGCGAGCGAGGGGGGGAAATGCGAGGGTGAATACCTTCGCAGAAGGCGGCGGGGCTTCTCAGAAGCCCTCGCGCCTTTCTGCGAGGTTTTTTACCTAACAGCTTTTGCTGATAGGTTTCTAGTGGTGTCAAAAGAGAGCATCTGGACTCCACAGGGGGGTCTGGGCGGGTGCCGGGGAGGAGAACCGGGAACAGAACCGGGCTCGTTTTAAGCGAACAGTCACACACTTCGTGCTCTTCGACCTCCCAGAACTCCATTCCCGGGCCACATTTTGAATAACCGGAGCCAACTGTAGGCCACTTCATGCTCTTCGACTTCCCAGAACTCCATTCCCAGGCCACATTTGGGATGCCCGGAGCCAACTGTAGGCCACTTCGTGCTCTTCGACTTCCCAGAACTCCATTCCCGGGCCACATTTTGGATGCCCGGAGCCAACTGTAGGCCACTTCGTGCTCTTCGAGTTCCCAGAACTCCATTCCCGGGCCACATTTTGAATGCCCGGAGCCAACTGTAGGCCACTTCGTGGTCTTCGAGTTCCCAGAACTCCATTCCTGGGCATGATTTTGAATGCCCGGAGCCAACTGTAGGCCACTTCGTGTTCTTCGAGTTCCCAGAATTCCATTCCCGGGCCACATTTTGAATGCTGAGGCAGGCTGAGGCTGAGGCTGAGGCAGGCTGAGGCTGAGGCAGGCTGAGGCTGAGGCCGAGGCTGAAGGCAGACTGAGGCTGAGGCTGAAGCAGGCTGAGGCTGAGGCTGAGGCAGGCTGAGGCTGAGGCTGAGCAGGCTGATGCTGAGGCAGGCTGAGGCTGAGGCTGAGGCTGATGCAGGCTGAGGCTGAGGCAGGCTGAGGCTGAGGCCGAGGCTGAAGGCAGACTGAGGCTGAGGCTGAAGCAGGCTGAGGCTGAGGCTGAGGCTGAGGCTGAGGCTGAGGCTGAGGCTGAGGCAGGCTGAGGCTGAGGCTGTGACTGCGACTGCCGTTGCCACTGCGACTGTCATCGCGAATGCGACTACGACTGCGAGAACAGCAGAATTCTACAACTGGATTCTCATCCGAATCTTAAGGGGAATGCTTCCAGATATGCTCCTACACATCGCTGTTAGGTTGCTTTGCCGGGATAATTGCTGTTGTGCCTTCGGGGGAGGTTTCGAAGACTTAGGCCCGGGGGCTTCCGAGCCTGCTGAGAAAGCCCGCCCCTTCTCACTCCCTCCCCTCGCTTGCCGCTGAGGGTAGGATGGGCAGGTCTCGAGTAGGAAATCGACTACAGAATAGATTCACCCCTGAATTGATTTCCCGTTGAATCTGCGAGAAATGCGTAGGATGCTCCGTAGGTCTACCGAGTATTCTGCGTCACTTTCGCAGCTTCGATGAAGAACTCAGCTTCGGGGTAGACCATCCTGTGGTCGATCCTGTGGTCGATCCTGTGGTCGATCCCAAACCATCCGGGTCGTTGGGAGGAGGACTGGCTATGGGTATGGGTGCGGGTTGTCGGACCCTGGGGAACGCTACCGTTCGAACGGGGACCCCATTCGACAACACGCGCCCATAGCCCTCTCCGACCCCCCTATGGGTATGGGTGTGTGTTGTTGGTTCGTCACTCCAAGCCTGTGCGCCGTGGAGCCTGATCCGTCGGGAGCCTCGAGACGGGGGTCAATGCAAACGGGGGTCAGCCAGAGCGCCCGGTCTCGCGGGATCCTGCAGGGCCAGGGTCGCGCCGACACGGGCGGGTGTGCGGCAGCCTGCAGGATCCTGCAGGATGCTTCGTATTGGCCCGGGCTTGGGTGCAGGGTCTCGCAGGATTCTGCAAGGCCTGGCTGGCCCGGGTCTGGATTGACCCGGGTCAGAAGATCCCCGAATCCAGAGGTTCAGCGGAGTCGAAACGGAGGCTGCCAGAAGGGTTCGTTGGGCAAGGTTGGTTTCGCTGGACTCGAGGTCCCTCCAGCCCGACCGCAGGCACTCCAGCGCGACCGGAGGCGCCCCGGCAGCCGTCGAAATCACCCTTCTCGGACCAGACCTTCTCGCCGTCCTCGGTCGAAGAAGAAAGAAGGCATAAACATATACTTTCGACGGTCCGCGCGGATTTTTCATGGATCCTTGTTGTGGCCGCGCGCCTGGGAGGGGGGCCTGGCGCAGATCCACGACATCCGCGCGGACCTTCCAAAGATTATGTTTACGGCGTTTTTTGTTCCTCTAGAGAGGCGAGACCCGTGCGTGGAGGGACGGGATAACATGAGAGAGGACTGCAGTCAGGAACTTTGGCTTACGTAGCGTGTCGCGCTGCCAGTTCTACCACGCCTCGGCGCGACACGCTATAGTATCCACGTCCCCATTCCAAGGCGTCGGCGTCCCGAGACCTGCTCAGCCTCCCGCCCCGCGGTGGGGAGCGACAAACTATCCGCTCGCAGGGCACAGCGTGTCGCCAGGGCCACCGCCGCGACACGCCAAGCAAATGTGCCCGACCGAAGGTTCGGGCCGAACGAAAGGGGTGGACAGGGAAAGGAGGTTACGAAATCTGCTGCATGCAGCTGAGTTCGGCCCCGCCACCGGGTCCATTTCATGATACATGGGCCCCTCCCGGCGCCAGGAGGCGCCGGGAAAATCAGCTACGTGAGCTGATTCTCAAGCCCCCCCCTTTGCTATCCCCTCTTTTCGGCCGGCCCGATAGGCGGTGACAGATGGGGGGCTCTCAAGGGCCCCGGAATCTGAAGGGCGCCCCAGCGCCAAAGATCGGACCCCGGTCCAGAAGAATTGTGGAGAGGAGCGGAACAGCAAGCGTTGCGCCAAGGGGTGGCACGGAACCGTCGAGGTGCCTCAAAGCCGTGCTGGGCAGTCTCTGGGGCCACGGGAACCCCTCCTGCCTACTTACCCCCGCTGTCATCGTCTCCTCTTTCTGGTTGTCCTGCATTTCGGGCTGCTGCTTGGATAGCGTTGCTCTTCCGCTTGCGCCGCTCCCGTCAGCCTTGGCAAGGTCAGATTCAGCCAGTTGGAGGGTGGAGGGTGCGTGCAAAGTTGCGGACGACACGCCAGTGCGATGGGGGGAAGGCTCTCAGAGCTCGCGATTTGTAGCCATTTCTTCATCCCCCTCTCCTTCACAGTAAGCCCATATCAAACCAGGGCTGATTTTCTTCCTAGAAGAGCGGGTGCGCGCTGAATCTGTCATAGGCGTGCGTATACTCATCTGCCAACTCAATGCGAGCGGACGCAGATGCTCGATATCTTCACGCTTCGCGTGCCTCCACCTGTGCGTCGACCTCTGGCGCCTGGTGCGGCAAGGTTCAATTCAACCTTCCTGGTGGTCTCGTCCCTGAGATGCCCGCACGCTTGCCTGGCCATCTGGCAGCTCCCGGCAGCTCCTGCAGCCTCAGCCCTCAGCGCAGCCCAGCGTCCCTCGGCGGTAGTCCTGCAGCCGCCTGCGCACGCGCTATAGGTCCATCAGTTGTGCTCGTAGCCCGAGCTGACCTGTGACGCCGCTGGCGCCTTCGCCTGCGGCTGCGACGGAAAAAGTGCCCCCACCTGCCGCGTCTCGGTGCCCGGCCTGCGGCAAGGACCATGGCTCCCGGCGCAAGGCCCTGGATCACTCGGAGCACCAGGAGGAGGAGGAGGAGGAGGAGGAGGAGGAGGAGGAGGAGGAGGAGGAGGAGGAGGGAAGGAGGAGGAGGAGGAGGAGGAGGAGAGGGAGGAGGATCAGGGGTGCCGCCGCTGGATGGGGAGCGGGGAGCTCCGTGAGCTGCTGCCGGAGCTCGTCGCACAGCAGGGGGCAAGACCGCGAGGCCTCTTCAGCTGGGTGGCGCCGCCGCCGCGCCGTCGCCCCCGGCTGCGCCCGATCCGTGCTGTGCACGCTCGTTCGCTCCTCCGGCCAACCATCGGCCTGTGGGGGGACAGGCTCGACTTGACGCCAGTGCACGAAGAAACCCGACCGTGTGTTCCACGACATCGATGCCAGGGAACTGCTCACAGGCAGCCGCCATGCCAGCCACATGCAATACTCGGAGGAGGAAAACACGCCCATACCGCTACCCTTCGCCTGTTTTTCCTTACCTAGGCTCTGCCTAGAAGGGTTCTTACCGTGCAAGCTTAAGGGGCCGGGCAGTGCTCCCCGCCCCGGGCGGTTCCCCCAGAATCCGCCCCGCGGTTCCCCCAGTTACGCCCCCTGGGTTCACCCAGCTTAGCTAAGCTAAGCTAAGCTTAGCTTATCTCATCTTAGCTTAGCTTATCTCATCTTAGCTTAGCTTAGCTTAGCTTAGCCTAGCCTAGCCTAGCTTAGCCTAGCTTAGCCTAGCTTAGCTTAGCTTAGCTTAGCTTAGCTTAGCTTAGCTTAGCTAATATCATCTTAGCTTAGCTTAGCTTAGCTTAGCTTGGCTTAGCTGGGCTTAGCTTAGCTTAGCTTAGCCTAGCCTAGCTTAGCTTAGCTTAGTTCAGCTTAGCTTAGCATAACTTAGCTTACCTTAGCTTAGCCTAGCGCAGCACAGCATAGCGCAGCGCAGCATTAGCACACCATAGCATAGCATCGCATAGCCAAGCATGCCATAGCATAGCATAGCATCTCATATCATAGCATAGCTCAACATGTTATAGCATAGCATAGCATAACATAGCATATCATAACAGAGCATAGCGCAGCATACCATAGCATATCATAGCATTGCTTAGCATAGCACAGCGCAGCATAGCATATCATAGCACAGCATATCATAACATAGCCTAGCCCAGCATAGCATTGCGCAGCATAGCATAGCATATCATATCATAGCATAGCAGAGCAGAGCAGAGCAGAGCAGAGCAGAGCATAGCATAGCATAGCATAGCGCAGCACATCATCCACTACTGCTGCTGCTAATGTTGTTTTCCTAGAGGCTCCAACTCCTAGGTAGGGTCGCACTGGGATAATCCCCTTTTTCGGCCTCCTGGGCCTCCGTCGTCGCCACCGCTGGACTCGCCTCGAAATCCTGGTCAGAACGCACCCCAGGGTCCAGGGAGTAGCGGTATCGGTACTTTTTGGTTTCCCCACATACAACATGTTGAAGACACACAGGTACCCCGCCACCAGAAGGACCCAACACGACCACAAGCTAAACTTCCTCCAGAGCTTCAAGAAGTTGCGCACGACCACGCCAAAGTAGACCAGGGAAGGCGAATCCCGCGGACGCCCACTAACAGCGCGTCCGAAAGCTAAGACATCTGTATTGGGGCGCATCGTGGAAGCTGACGGAGCAGTCCAGCGTACATGAACGATGCGAATACACCAACAAGCGGAGAACACCAGAGAGTTGCCAATCGGACTGCTGCTTCGTACTACAGGAAGGTGTGACTGTGACTTCAACTCAAGCACGTAGTAACCCATCGTGCCAAATAATTGGAGGACGCTTGATTCAATACGCACCCAGTACATGACGAATGCTACGACCATGCACGACTGTACAATCCGCCACGCCGCCGCCACGGTCATTCTGGAAACAAATCCAAAATGTTGCACTGTTCAGTGTACGGATGGCCGGCACATCCTGTTCCCACCACGGCAGTTGAAATGACGGCATCTCAACATGCAACAGGAAGAGCGCACCAAAGACCTTGAATTTGAGTGACTGCATCGGCGAACAAAGGGAACAATATGCTACCAGCAACGCAGCCCCCCAGCTTTAAGGAACTGGATGTGCGAGCTACTCCTGCAGCCAGTTCACCCCGGCGTTCACCGGCGAAGACCGCCCCGAGGAAGGCCGGCGCTCAAGTCGGCTCGCGTGCCCGGTCTGCCCGCGGGGCACCCCGCCCACGCCGCTGGCTCACCTGGGCCCGACAGGCTTGGGCCGAGATGGGACTCGAGCCCTTCCTCCCCCGCCTTTCTTCCTCGTCGTCACTCGAAGACGCGAGAGCACAGAAACACAAACTGCTTACGCTCCGCGCGGATCTCTCCGACCCGCACTGGGGCCCCCCCTGGCGGCGCCCCCTCGCGCCAGGGCGGGGGGGGGCCCTGCGCGGCTCCCGGACATCTGCGCGGAGCACCACAAGTGGATGCTCGTGCCGCTGTTTCGTCTTCTGCCCGGCTCCTCCATCGGCTGGGGCAACCTCCTGCTCCTCCTCCTCCCCGTCGCCCCTCCTCCTCCTCCTCCTCCTGCTCCTCCTCCTCCTCCTGCTCCTCCTCCTCCTCCTCCTGCTCCTCCTGCTCCTCCTCAAGCTCTATGCCGGTGCTTGGCCCGGCAGCTCGTCTGCATGCTGTTGCGGTCCAGTGCCGGACAGGGCCTCTTCTCCGAAGCAGGAAGGCGGCCGCGGCGAGAGAGCCACTGGCAGCTGACGAGGCTTCGAGCACTGCTCAGAGCAGGAATCCCAACAATCCCCCCCCCCTCGGGGTGCCCAGATCCGCCGCCAGAATGTAGCCATATCCGCCTCTCAGCGGTGGACGTGGGTATTCGCCCGCCCGCGCGGGTGGGCAGATATCCGCATCCACCGCTCCCCGAGTCCCTGAGACACGTCCCCGCGGCAATGGATCTGGGCATATCCTGGCGTCGCACCAGGACGCTGCCCCCGCACGCGCCCTCTCTCGGTCGTTCCGCCGAGGACTACTGCGGCGGCTGGGTCTGCTTCTGGATCTCCCTGATGGCCATCGGGTGCGTTACCGGCGTCATCAGCGACCTGGCCAGCCTGCTGGGTTGCGTCGTCGACATGCCAGACGAGGCCGCAGGGTGGCGCGCAATGAGCGTAGCGAGACGCGCACCAAGGAAGGTTGGCAGGGAAAGATGCAAATGGCATGGCCCCTACGCTCAACCCTCGTCCCGAAGAAGGTACGCACTCTTACTACCCCCTCTTTCTCGCGGGGGCAAGGGGGGGAGGAGGAGGAGGAGGACGAGGAGGAGGAGGAGGAGAACCCAGACGCCCAACGTAGTGATTGTCCACGACATGGTCCCTGTATCTCCCGACCTCATCCCCGCGACCAGCTTTCCGTCGCGGTTTGTGTCTGATGGTTCCTTTGCCCGGAAATTGGCCCCAGATGCCGATATTGCGAACGCATATGCGTTTGTCGCGATCCTTTCGCGATGTCTGGACGTTTGGGAAGAATGGCGCGAGACAGCTTTCTGAAAAGCGAGCCAGGGAACGACATCATGGCCTTGGCTGCCTCGGCCAGCGGGGTCCCAGCACGGCGGCGCGGGTCCATGCTCCCGCGGCCGCGATCGCTCCCGACCTGCCCGAAGTGCCGAAGAGGAGAGAGAAGGATGGCCCCCGGACCTCCAGGCGGCGCGACAGAAAAATTGCGGGTGCTGGCGGTTCTGAGTGTTCTGCTTCTTGTGGCCGCTCTGGGGCCTTGAGGAGGTCAAAAACCGATCGTCCCGTTGTACCTGGAGGCCTACCATTGTTTGTTGTGGGTCGAACAACATATTGTTGTACTACCAACGACGATGTCTTCATAAGATGGAATCGACGTATCAGAACAGGAACGTGTCAATCGAACATGCTAAAGTAATGTTATACACAAGCTACAGCGCGTCTTCATTCCCAAAACAGTGCTTGCAGTTTAGGGGTTCCTATGTCTCTTCAAGGGAACTGGTCCTCAATGGCGGTCTGGCGGGTGTGTGGCCGCCGTCGCCGCCCTGTCGCCGCCTCGTCGCCGCGTGACGTGTGGGCCCGAATGGCGGTCTGGCGGCTATGCCGCCGCCTCGCAAGCCCCTCCTTTCTAGAAGTAATGTTCGTGTCTGCCCCCTTCCCCCCCGGACTTAAACGCGTCACTGCTTTCGCATTGCATGTTGTCGATGGTTCTGCGTACGTACGTGCCCACACATCATCAGAATCCATACCATCTCACCCAATCGCTTATCGACCTCCCTCATCTTCGGCAACATCTATTCTTCGCGCGCGCTCTCTCATCACAGAGTACAGAATTTCAGGCATCCCTGGCAACACATGTGACGATGTGCGCACGCAGGCGTCGTTTCGCGCGCATGCGAAAACATCGTTCAAAACCGTGAGGTTCGCAAGGATGTCAATATCGAGTGCCCCGAAAACAAATTTGAAACAAATGGTCCCGCAACAGGAATGTTCAACAAACATGCCGTCGCGCTCATGCAAACGCTTCAATTTGCAATCGTTTTTTTTTTGTTTTTCAATGTTTTCCTCCGGTGCGACCACATGGGCCTCTCGCGCGCGCATGTCGAATTCATTCAAACACCCTTAAGCACATATTGGGGGGGGGCATGGATCCTGCCCAATAATACGATTCGGGTCACTCGCGCCAATCGGCCGCGCGCGCGTGTCGAAATCTTTCCAAAACCTTCATCGCTGACACGTGGACACCATCATCGCCATCGGCGTGATTAGCATCGGCACCGTCATGGGCCCTGCCGTCGTCATCGCCGCCGTCGTCACCAGCATCGCTACTATCATCATCGTGTTTGCCGTCGTCGAAATCGTCATGATACCGGCCCCGCCCGAATCACCGACCCGCGCTGAAGTGACCGCGCGCCAGCGCGGCCTGCGAGACGCGCTGGGCAGCCTCCAGCGGTCAGCGCCGCGTCGATCGCGCCAGGCTAATTGGACGCCCTGCGCGCGAGCCTGCGCGCGCAAGCGCGGCCGCAGCGATGCACCAGCCAGCGCCAAGCAGTCATCGCAATCGCCGCCGCATGGGTTTTGCAAACCAAGTGGCGGGCTCGCGCGAGCAGTAGAGTTGACAACTCATGGCGAACAAAAGTAACTGCACCACATAGACAACACCACATTAGTTGCCCGTCATAGTTGCGCACCATACATTGTACCACAAAGACCGCAACACAGAATGCACAACATAGATTGTATTTAGTCGTTGGAAACCGTCGACTCTCCTCTCTAAGATAATAATCGGATTCCCCCCCTTTCTCCCCCCCGGGTTTAACCGCTCCCCTTTTCGTATTGCAATTCGCAAGTGATTCTGCCCCATCGCCCATCCTTCATATGAGCTCATATCATCCCAGCCAGGCCGGTGTCGACACTCCCCCTCATTTCCGGCAAAATAATTATGCGCGCACGCCCGTTCATCAAACATCACCAGTTTGCAAGCATTTTTCGCCAAAGAATTCGACGAAGTGCGCGAGCGCGTCGTCGTGCGAGTGTGCCGAAAATTTTCAGCAACTTCAGATTCCGTAAGGAATTCAAAGTCTAGTATCCCGGACACAAACAATAACACATGGTTTCGCCACGCGGATGTTCAACAAAAAAGGTGGCGCTCGCTCTCTTGCAGATTCTTTACAAAACCATCGGCTCTGGATCACTTCATATCATGCTACCACACGGGCCTTTCTCGCGCGCATTTCGAAATCGCTCGAACGCCCTTGCGTGCGTGCCGTCGCAAGAATCCTTTGCAACAAATAGGACGAAATGCGCGCGCGCGTCGTCGCGCGCGCGTGCCGAAACCCTCTGAGAACCTTTCGGTGCCCTACGGACTTCGAAATCGAGTGTCCGACAACATATAAACACACATGGCTTTGCAACATCAGTTTTCGAAAAAGTTTTCCCTCGCGCCCCCGCGAGTTCTTCAGAAAGCCATCCTTCTTTGTTTTTCATGTTTCAAGAAAAACTAGGTTGATTGCACTCGGCCAAAGGATCCCCTCGCGCCGTACGTCGAAATCATTCGAACGCCCTTGCGCACGTGCTGGGGGGGGAGCGGGTCACGATCCGTATTGAATAATACCGCGCGGGCGACGCTCGCACGTCGGCCGCGCGCGCGTGTCGGATTCCCTCCAAAACCTCCATCATCCATTACCGACGCGAGGGCGACGACGTCGTCGCCGGCATCATCGGCATCGGCGTCGTCGCTGGCCGCGCCGTCGTCGTTGTCATCGTCGTCGCCAGCAGCGCTACCACCATAGCCGCGTCTACTGTTGTCGACGTTGCCAGGATACCGCGCCCGCCAAAGTCGCCGACTCGCACAGACGTGCCCGGTGGGAAATGCCCGGCGGTCGGCGGCGCCGAACTATTTGGCCGCTGCGCGCGCAAGCGCGCGCAGGCTTGCGCGGCTGCAGAGATGCGCCAGCCAACTCCGAGCACTCATCGCGATCGCCACCGCGTGGGTTGTGCGTTCCAAGTCGCGAGTGAATGGGTGGGATGATTGCCCGAGCAGTTGAGTGGGCAATTCTTCGCGAACAGCATTTAAATGCACCGCGTACGTTAGTCAAAATCGATTGCACCACCTATCTTGCACATCGCACGTTGCACCGCGTAGATTTCGCCGCGCAGACGGCGCCGCATATTGCTCCGCGTGGGTTCTCATTTTTAACAGACTATCAGGATTCCCCTTCCTTCCTTCCTTCCTTCCTTCCTTCCTTCCTTCCTTCCCCGCGCTTCGCATTGCAATTTACGCATGATTCTGCCCCATCGTCCGTCCTACATGTGAGCTCATATCATCCCAGCGAGGCCGGTATCGACACCCCCCCTTGCCCTCTGGAAAAAATATGCGCGCGCATTCGTCGATCGAAAAACATCAGTGTTCAAGAGTTCTTTGCCAACGTGGGGGCGAAGTGCACGCGAGCGCGTCGTTGCGCGCGCGTGCCGAAGCTTGCCCAACACGTAAGAGACAGTTTCTTTATTGCTTGGGGCATGTCGGGCGTCATGGCCGCCGCTCCACCCCCCCTATGACGTAACGCTCCCCCCCCCGTGTGCTCCGGGCACTGCCGCCGTGCGCATTGGGATCCGCTTAGGTGTCCGCATACGAATCCGCATAGGAGTGTGGTCCGCAGTCGTCGTCGTCGTCGTCGTCGTCGTCGTCGTCGTCGTCGTCGTCGTCGTCGTTGTCGCCGTCGTCGTCGTCGTCGTCGTCGTCGTCGTCGTCGTCGTCGTCGTCGCCCGTGGCTTGTCGCTTGTCGCCCATGGTCGTCGTGCGCGGGGACGCTGCTAAAGCCTGTTTTTTACTCCGGGCCGATGACGGCAATCATCTAGGGGGGGGAAGGGGTCGATGACGTCACGTTTCGCGCCGGCGGCGTGTGGGAATGCCTAGGAATGACGGAGAACAGGTAGCGCCAGCATGTAGGTGGCAATTTGCCCCACAACGCTTGTGTACACCACAGTGCCTGCGTGCACCACAGCGCCTGTGTACACCATGCCGCTTATGTACACCACAGCAAGCGCGTGCAACAACACAGCGTCAGTGTTGTGCCACCGTGCCTGGGGTCACAACAGCTCTTGTGCACACCACAGCGCTTGCGTACACCACATCAGCCGTGTGCAACACAGCACCAGTGTACACGACAATGCTTGCGTACATTGCAGTGCGTGTGTGCTCCACGGCGCCTGTGTGCACCACAGCAACCGTGTGCAACACAGCACCAGTGTATACATAATGTTCGGTCAAATCCTTATGACAAAATGGAACGCTTGTGGATTCCACAGAAAACAGTGTATAATAATCATTCTGGACAACGGAGCGTCGCTGGAATCTACGACTCCTCCCGAGCCCGCCCGCATCACCCTAATTCTTCCCATCTGCGTCCATGAGGCTCCAGGTAGATTGGCCGTCCGAAAACCAAGTGGACCGATTCAATAGACCATTCTGCGGTGCGAGCTAAGATGCGCACGCGCGCTGTAGCGGCAACCCGCACGACAGGGGGTAAAGAGGAGGAGGGGGAGGAGGAGGAGGAAGAGGAGGAGGAGGAGGAAGAGGAGGAAAAGGAGGAGGAGGAAAAGGAGGAGGAGTACGAGGAGGGGAGGAGGTCGTG